AGAACATTTATATTCATTCTATTATTTAAACTTTACAGCAGCTTCATGGGGTTGATATTATTTTCAGGTGAGCACGCTTAGAGTTTGAGTAACTGGGACCAGTAGCCAGGCTTCCTGTTATGATAAAGAGAAGAAGCTCCAAGTTCATCGTTTAAAAACCTATCTATCTATCTATCTATCTGTCTGTCTGTCTGTCTGTCTGTCTGTCTATCTATCTATCCATCCATCCATCCAATCTATCTGTTTATTTATCTGTTTAGACAAGGAGGTCTTTTGTAGCCTAGGCTGGCCTCACACTTGATCTGAAGCTGAAGATGACCTTGAATTCCGATCCTCCTGCCTCTGCCTGTTAAGTGCTAACATTACAAGCCTGTACCCAGCTTCAAGAGCCTTTCAATCCCAGCAACTTAAAAAATGTAAAATTGCTGGGCATGGTAGACACGCATTGCTGGACGTTCGAGCATTTGGGAGGCAGAGGCAGAAGCATCATAAATTCAAGACCAGCTATATAAGTGAGTTCCAGAGTAATATCCTGCTTCCCCCAAAAAAGTGTAGGGCTGGAGAGATAGCTCAGAGCTTAAAGACACTTACTACTCTTGCGGAGAACCTGGGTTTGGTTCCAGGTGGGTGGCTCACATCTGCCTATACCTTCAGTTCTAGGGGACCCAGTGCTTTCTTCTGCCTCCAAGGATTCCAGCACACACACGGTGCACAGAAATTTAAGCAGGTTTACAACCTACACATAAATGATAATTTAAAAATATTTCAAAAGGGATAAACTGGTTATATAATGGAAAAAGTAATAGAAGTTTATATTGGTAGTCTGACATATGGGAAAAAGATAAATGTTCATTGAAAAAATAATAATAAGATCCCCTAAGGAATCACTATAAATGTTGGCAGGTGAGCGATGGCTAGGTTTGTCCTGAATTCAGAAGGGGAGGCACTTAGTTCATTATAAAACAGGCCAAATAATAGAGCCCAACTGATGAGGAGCTCAGTTAAAAAAAAAAAATGACTGCAGGAGTTAATTAAAAGCCATGCATGGTGGCGCATGCCTTTGATCCCAGCACTCAGGAGGCCAGAGGCAGGCAGTTCTCTGTGTGTTTGAGGCCAGCCTGGTCTACATAGTGAGTTCCAGGACATGCAGAGCTACACAGAGAAATCCTGTCTCAAAAAACAGGAGGAGAAGAAGAAGAAGAAGAAGAGGAAGAGGAAGAGGAAGAGGAAGAGG